TCCCTACTCTGAGGAGGGTGCCATCACATCGATCGCTTGGGGTCCGTTGTCTTCCAAGAGGTGGGAACCGTTCCTTCTAGTCCTCTCCTTTACACGCATCAGAGAGAAGGAAAAAAAAAAGACGACGAAAGAGAAAGAAAACACACACACACACACACAAAGCCACAGCCGTTATCTGGTGCAGTCGAAGCTGGGGCCCTCTGAGGCAAGGAGCACTCCCCCAACCCTGTGGCTGCAGCCGGGAAAGGCAGGCTGGAGATGCCTGCACCAAGGGTAAGCCTCGGACAGCAGTTCTGGATTTGGTAATCACCACCAAGGCCAGAGCCAGTGAAGGCCCTGAAAACTGGGATGCCATCCCTGGGCCTCAATCACACTTGGTTGAGGTTATCTTCAGTAGTGGGTGGCCTGGGGGAGCAGCAGGAAGGACCAGGGCCAAGTCCAAAGCTAGCACTCTTTATGCTCCTGCGAAATGGGAAACACACTGCCACAGGGATGTCCTGGGCCTGTCAGCCTTGTCCAGGAGAATGGTGTCTGGCCTCATAGCAGCCAGGTCAGCTCTCTTATTATCAGTCAAGAATGAAGGAGAACCCTCACATAACCTAGAGCTTGAGGCACTGTGGGACAGGATGAGGGTGCGTGCGCTCTTCACGCTCAGCCTCCTAGACAGACATAGTGGTCAGAGAGCTCCCTGGGGCAGGACACAGCCACATTGCTCCTCGGCAAGCCCCTGGTCAGGGAGAGTAGCCTCACTGTCTTACCACGGAGCTGCAGTGAGAGCAGAAGTAGGACAGGCCCAAGAACTAGAGTTCTTATCCCAGTGTGATTTTCTGGGAGAAAGGCATAAAGGGTGGTCCTGAGTTTCTCAGGCCTTGGGAAGATAAGAGAATCTGGTTTGTCGAGTGGGAGAGGCTGCCCAAAGACTTGGTGTAAAGATCAAGGGTGTTAGAGAAGAGGCTATGAGGGGTGGGGGGCTGGATCCTTAGGGAGAAGCCAGCTGGACCTTGGAAAACAGGAATCTGCTGGCCACTCTCTTCTTGCATGTCTGTGAGGAAACTGAGGCTCAGAGCTGCCTCTTGGGGGAAACAAATTCAAACAAGTATAAGAAATTGCCCAGTGAGCTTTCTTTGCTCTATTCAGCCCCCCCTTTGTGTTCCCTGTTCCTTCTGTATTCTACTGCTTTGTTGATCAACTTGGCCTTGTCCAGGGGTGACTGGGGAGATGAAGCCACATGCCTACCACCTCATCCTCCTTGGCTGACACCTCCTAACCCTCCACCCCCAGCCCACTGTAGTTGCCCCTTGCTCTACTTTAAACTGTAGTTCACCTAGGGTAGAGAGTCCTCTTACTTTGGGTTTAGAGCAGCTCTTGAACCCTATATGGCAGGACCCAAGTTTCCCCAGCTTGGCTAATAGAAGATAGATTACTGACACTGGGTGTGTGCAGGAGTCATGTGGAAGCACTGGTGGGAAGCAGGCACACCTGGCCCCTGTGTATTGTGGGCAGGTGTGCAGTGAATCTGGCTTCTGGGAGGACCTGCTGGCTTTGGCCACTTGGCTCTGGGGAACCATTCACTTATACCCTTTCCCAAGGAGGGAGGCACTGGAACCAGCATCACGCTTCCAATTTGACATGAGCCTGATGCCTAAAGCCACCTACCTGTCCCCAAGGCCCGAGAGGGCTCTGGGCAAAGTTCCCCTTGAGCAACACCCACGGCTCAAAAGCCCTGGGTCCTGGGCCCCTGGCCCATCGGCGTATATGCTCCACGCTGCTCCCGCCGCCAAGCGGGGCTATGGCCTCCGCACCCGAGCTGACCTTGGATTAAAGAGCTGTTAGGCCAGTCCCACCTCCCACGGGGCGGCTGGCAGGGAAAAGGGTGGAGTGGACAGACAGACAGTGGACAGCAAACAGTGGACAGGAGATGGCTGGCTGAGTGTAACTACATTCATTGGGACAACCCATTGGAGGAGGAACACATGGTCATGGCTACAGACTCTGCAGCACATGTGAGTACAAGAAAGGAGTGGCTATGGGCAGAATTTGGTTTGGCCCCTTGGGGCTGATCCTCCGAAATAGACAGACAAACCACCTTTTCCCAGGAGACCTAGTGGGCCTCCACCAGATGTAATTACACGCAGGCAGGTGTATGGAGCGGATGGAGGACACAAAGTGCAAGAGGGGCCCCTACTTGTATTCCTATTGATGACAGTTTCCTTTTGGGGATGGCCTCGGGGTGAGACTCAGAGCTGGTCAGCGTCCCTTGTTCGCTCTTCAGAGCTGCATGTTTTGGGGGTGGCTCCGGGGCCTCAGGGGCTGGGGCGACTCCACCCCGCGTCACACTGGGTGGTCGGGTACTGCTGTCCAGGCTGTCTGATGAGTTGCTCAGGCCCGACTGGCTAGGCACCTCGCTCTTGTGGTCCTGGCTGTCCAGGTAGGTGTCTTGGGCGGACTCTGTACTGCTCTGGACTGTGACCGAGATGAACGGCTTTGAGGTGGTGCGTGGAGGAACCGGTGGCGGGGTCTTCTTATATGCCACTAGGCATGATGTACCTGCAGATGGGTGAGAGGACAGGGGAGAAGGTGAGAAGGTGACACTTCCAACTCTCTGAAGCCCCTTCCAGGGCTGGAGTCTTGACTGACTGGGCCTTAGTTTGGGCCTCAGCCATTCCCTCAGTGAGGATTTCTGGGGCAAGAGAATGAGGGTCAGACACAGTAAAGACCAGGACAGACACGCACAGCCCCACTCACTCTCATGCGAGCCCAAGTCTTGTGGAGGAGGCCAACAATGACCAAAGACGCCCTCCACCTCATAGTCACACAAAAGCATTATCTAGCTGGGACATGGGCTAGACAGCAAGGTGCATGGAGCCATGAGGCTGTGACAGAGCCTAACCTGTGCTAAGAGGAGGCACTGACAACAGAGAAGTCAGGACAGCGAAGGATGGTTGACTGCTTTCCTTGAGGTCACTGAAAGACCTACTGCTTCCCTGATCTTTTCCTTCCCTCTCCCTATCCCTCTGCTATCCTCCTGCTCAGATGCTCCCTCCCGTCTGGTCAAAAATGAAGGCTCTCCACTTCCCTATCTTGCCACTCCCACTCTACCTCTTACTCCTAAGGTGGAAACCCCACAGGCCAGTCTGCCTCCTGCAAGACTCCATCAAGCCTGCACGACTCCTTGTCCCTGGTGGGAGTCTGAGACATCTCTCTCATCATCTCTCAAGCCAGATTTGAGCTGGCCCACAGAAGTGGCACAGATCAACAGAGACCCACTGCTTTTACTCAGATGCCAATTCTTTTTGAGACAAGGTACTTTTCCTACAGTAGCAGCTATTTTTGTGGGGCTGTGTCTGATCCAGTGGCCTTTCTCAGCACCTTAACTCCCAAAACACCCCCTTCCTCCTGTAAAGACTAACATAAACCCCTAACCTGGTTTAGGTCCACGCTGAGAGATGGACAGATAAGCCCTGCCCTCAATGGGTTACCACTCACACAGATGGTGTGGTTCAAAGGCAACTCACAAAACAGGGCCCAGTGCTATGGGAACATGAACAATAGGCATCAGAATCTACCCATCTGCACCTAATATAGCCACACACACCTATCAGGATGGCTAAAATCAAAAAGTGAGAACATAAAATATTATCAAGGATATAGAGAAACCAATATAGCTACCCTAGAAAACAAATTGGCATCTTATAAAACTAAACATGTAGCTGCCCTACTCACCCTTGGGCATTTATCCCAAGCAATGATAACATGTTCACAAAAAACTTACATATGAATGTTTGTGACAATTTTATTTGTAATAGCCCCAAATTGGAAACCTTCAAGGGGTGACTAGGTAAATAAATGATGATATATCCACATTACGGAATACTATTCAGAAATAAAAAAGGAATGAAGTATTAGCACAAGCAATAAATCTCAAGTCAATTATGCTGAGTGAAAAAAGCAATCCTTGGGGACCAGCAGTTAGTGTAATGGCTATGTTGCTGGACTCCCATGTAGTCGACCACAGTTTGAGTCCTGGACCCGGTGGCTTAAACTCACGCTGGGCATGTGTGTGTGCGTACCCAGGATCCCGAGAGGAGAATGGAGAAGGGACTGTGGCGTGACCATCCTGCCCAGGGGGGTGATTTCTCGCTTTCTATCTCTCTGTTGCTGTCTTTCTGGCGAGCGCACGTGCCTTATAGCAAAAACAAACAAACTAAACCTCTCCAAAAAAAAAAAAAAAAAAAAGCAATCCTTGGGACCAGTGAATGGCATAATGGTTATATTGCTGGACTTCCATGTAGTCGAATGTGGTTGGAGTCCCAGACCCAGAAATGTAAAACTCATGCCAGATGTGAGAGCATGCATGCCCAAAATCCCAGTAAGAGAACAGAAGAGAAGGACTACAGCATGGCCATCACCCTTGGGGGAAGATTTCTTACTTTCTCTCTGTCTCTCTGATGAGCTCATGTGCCCTATAGCAAAAAAGTGGGCGGGGAGATTAACAATCCTCCAAGTTAACATATGGTATGATTCTATTTTTATAACATACATTTTTTTAATTGCCAGAGAGCATATCTGCCTGCCAGAGTGAGAGAGTGAGAGTGAAAGAGAGAAAAAGAGAGAGAGAGATTATACTCCCTTAATGGGGTATGATCATGGCTCAATCCTCTCTTCTCTAGTTCTCCATCCCATCAGGATTTTAGGCATGCACACACACACAGCAGCATGTTTTTCATGCCAACGGCAGTCTGCTGTGCATGGGATCTAGCTCTGCATGCACAGCACTTAACTCCTGTACTACAAGACCAGCCCTATAGCATATTCTTAAAATTACCTAATTATAGAGATGGAGAACAGGTTAGTGGTTACCAGGGGTTAGGGCTGGGAAGTAGGGGAGAAGGTGATGGGGAGGGCAAGAGGGAAGCTTAGTTGTGGTTAGAAAAAAGTAACAAGAGGGGTCCTTGTGTGCAGTGATGAAATAGTTCTGTATCTTGACTGTGGGAAGGATGACATAAACCTACATGTGATAAAACTTCACAAAACTCCACACTCATACCCATCCAGATACCCTCCCTGTGAGTACAAGTGAAACTGGGAAAATCTGAGTAAAATGGGTGGATGTTCTATGTCAAAATTCTAGATGTGGTGTTGTACTACAGTTCTGTAAGACTGTACCATTGAGGGAAAGTGGGTATAAAGTACATGGGATCCCTTTGTGTAATTTCTTACAACTGCATGTAAATCAACAGTTACCTAAAACCAAAAAATTTAATTAAAAAGACACATCCGGGGGCTGGCAGGTGGTGTGGTGGTTAAGGATGCTGGACCTCCACATGGCTGGCTGTGGTTCAATTCTCAGACCTGGTGGCTTACTTTCTCACTTTCTCTGGTAAAATTAAAACAAATAATAATAATTAATAAAGTTAAATAAAAATAATTCTTAAAAAGAAAAAGACCCATCCATTTGCCCACTCATCCAACAGACATCTATGAAGCCTGGTCTGGCCTGTACTGGATTCTAGGAGACCCAGGAGCCCTCATCAGCAGAGAAGCAGCTGTGAAATGAGTGGTTGGAAAGGAAGAGGCTCCACAACAGAAAAGCCCAGGAGCTGGATGCTGTGGCTGTGCCCAGCCTGGTCTGGAGGTGACCAAGTGCTCTGGGCATTCCATGCCAGAAGCACTAGCTTCCAGCTCATCTATTCGAAACACCCTAGTTCTGCTCAGGTCTCGGGAATGCTTGGGGTACCCCAAGACAGACACACCCAAACTCTCTGATGACCAACCCAATTAGAAGGAAAGCACCAACTGGGGGCTGGAGAATAGCCGTATTGGAGGAGGCAGGGCCCAGGGCAGCAGGAGAACAACCCCTTCTTGTGTGAGAAGGGTCAGGCTGACAGCCAGCGAAGGGTCATTTGCTAAGCTGTGCTCAGCAGCTTTGTGGCTTAGTAATCTAAACCTTGCAGTGACTCTGTGAGGTGAGGATAATGGTAATTATACAACTGTCCCTCAGTATCCACAGGGCATTGACCCCAGGACTCCACCTGCAGATACTGAATGTGATGCTCAAATCCCTTATAGAAATGGTGTAGGACTGCACAGAACCTACACACATCTGCCTGTGTACTTTAAATCATCCCGACTACTTATAGTACCCTGTACCATGTAAATGCTAAAGAGTTACTATACTATATTGTTTTTTTATGTGTATTTTTATTATTGCATTAGTTAATTTTTTTTGAGTATTTCTCATCTGTGGTTGGGTGAATCTGCAGATATGGAACCCATGATACAGAAAGCTGACTGGTTCTCTGGGGTCTGGATTAGATTAGAACAGCCCCAACATGCTCAAAACATTTAAGAGGAAATATCCCCCCAAGAAGGGTAGCAGTTAGTATGAGGGAGCCAGAACTGGCTCTAAGCCTGACTGAGGCTATGTGACCTGTCAGGATCCTTGTCCCCATCTGTGGGGTGGGGATGACACTGGCTGTGAGGACAACGTAGGGGAGAGATACCCTCTCTCTCTCAGGGGGCAACCAGGCTACCCACCTGTGGGGCAGAGGTCTGAAAGGAGGGCTCGTCCTCCAGGCCCTCTCATGCTGCTGAGGCAGAGCCCTGCTGAGGCACACAGAGGCCTGGAGCCCTGGTTGAGGTAGCCCATCATGAGAAGGAAAGTGAACCCAGGAAGTCCAGCCCAGATGCAGTAAGAGGAAAAGTAAACTTGTCTTGGACATTCTGTGTCTCCTGGGGCCTAGGTCCCAGGCATGTAAAAGCAGTTACTAGCATAGGATTCGGGGGCACGAGGGGAGGTCTTGTGGGGAGCAGGCATCCTTCACCTCTTGGTCCTGTCCCCTGTGGGAGGAAGATGGGACCTGACCTTGAATGGGAATTTTTGTTTTTAATTGTCAGAGGACTTTTATGCTCATCAGAGAGAAAGGGGGAGAGTGTGTGCTCCCTAATGGGTATAATCATGCCACAATCCCCCTTCCTTTATTTCTCCATCCCATCAGGATCTGGGGCATGTATGTACACAAGCCTAGCATATATTTCAAGTTGCTGGGGCCAGGATTCAAACCACAGTTGGCCATGTGGGATCCAGCTCCCTATGCACAAAGGTTAACCACTGGGCTACAGGCCGGCCCAGAACAGCTTCTATTTCACAGGTGTGACGTAGGACATAAGGTCCATCACCCCACCCTTTCCCCTTCCAAAGTCTGCTCCAACCACTCTTCCTACCTTGGGTCTTTACACATACAGCTCCTTCTACTGGGAGGGCTTCCCTCTGCTCCTCACATGTTCCCAATGTCCCTTCTTTGGAGAAATCTTACCTCACTGCCCTCTTCTCTTTCACCAGAGCTCTGATTACATCTGTCACCAGTTTCTTTATAGATTTACCTGTTTGGGGCTAGAGGCTGGGACAGCTGGGGGAATTATCCTGGCCTAGGGTAATGCCTCAAGCACAAAAGGTTCTCGGTGAATATTTGCTGAAAATGAACCTTATTACCACTACCAAAAAAATGCAGCTGCCAAAAATCAAGATTGTTTGGCCATAGTGAAGG